CGAAACAGCCGCTGCTGTGAGGGCGCCGGTTGTGGCAGCAGTCCCAGCGGCGGTGGATCCAACGGCAGCCTGCGACGCTGCCATGGCCATGTTCTGTGTGGTGGACTGGAGTGCCCTTTACAATCGTAGCGTAACGTACGATAACGTAACGGAGTGTAACATAATGGAGTGATCAACAGAATGTGAGTGGAACAGGCAGATCGATTGAATGATGAATCCATTCGGAAATCTTACAAATAGGTTGGATTGGCAAGGTTGGCTACAGATTGTTGCTGCGTTTGTAGTAGCATGGCGGTTCGGGCATTCCCAGCAACCTCATCGGCCGCAGCTTCCGCAGCTTCCTGTGCCAGGTCGTCTGCTCCTGGCAGATCGTCCTCTGTATTAGAACTCCTTCTTCGACACCAGTTGATGAGTTTTGAGATTCCCTTCATGCAAACCATCAATCCACAGGCCATACAGATGGCATAGAGCAGAGATCGTTTGACTTTTTGTTCGTTCACTTCGGCAATGTCGATGGAGGATGGGTCTTCATCACCGATGGAGTCACTAATGAAGGATTGGATATCCTGGCTTTCCTCGTCACCGTATGCTTCTTCGTTGTTGTTGTTCTTGTCGTCATCCTCCTTCTTGATGCTGCCACCATCATCTTCTACGCTGTGGTCTTCTACGCTGTGGTCTTCTACGATGTGGTCTTCCACGGTGTCGTCGTCGTCGTAGTGATCACCGCTAATTTCAGAGCGATTGCTGGCCTCGAGTACATGAGCGCTAGTTTGGAGGAGATCTACGGGTCGATGGCTCGTGGGGAGACTTGCCCGGATAAGGGTCGAGGTTTCCCTGTACCGTACAACACAGCAACAGGTTAGACAGTGACTACATGTTTGTTTGAGCGGTCTAGCCATGGCATGGCATGACTTACGATTCTTGTTCCACTGGATGCTCCGTCATTTCTTCCTCTTCCTCCTCCTCTTGCTGCGCCTGTCGACTTGTCCTGTACGCTTCTTCCACGAGGAAACTTAGGTGCATCGAGACATCGGAGACTTCGTCATCTTCGTGCTCATCGTCACTACGAGGATTGCCTTCCGCCACCGCAATGTCCCTCACAGGCGGCCAAGACGGCTCATTGTTCTTGCTGTTGTTGTGGTTCTGCATGACAGAGGACAATGAATTGAGCAGTGGTTGTTGTGACAGGGTTATTGCTTCTGACTTCCTTGACTTCCTTGGCTCCGCTTGGTGGTCTTGAGGAGCTTCTTGAGGTGAGAGGGAGGAGGGGCTCTCATCGTGATTCTTGGACAGAATCTAATAAAGCCTCAAAGCCTCCTCAATGCTCTCTATTACGGTGGTTGCCACCACTGTATTGGAGCAGTAGGAAACCAAGAACAGCCAGTCATTGCCTGGTTATCTCTCCCCATCAACTATTGTTGTTTTGGGGGGAAGGTATTTAATTGGTAAAAGACGGCCGTCACGTGACCTTTGTAGGAAAAGAGCAGCAGTGGTAAGAAGAGAGCTCACGGATCAATCGGGAATGCAATACTGGAGTAAAAAGCAATAAAAGAAATATTGCTACTAGAGCTGTCACCGTGGCCTTCTGAAACAGCAGAGTCACCTAGTGAGCCTCTTTCGGATGTTCCACTTTGGAATTCATGAGCTTCTTCATGTCACCATTTATCTCTTTCGTTCTCCCCGCAGCAACTTGCCACATGCCTCTGTTTCAAGAACCACTTACTGTACTTACTAGCTAGCCAGCTCGGACATGGTGGAGAACATGTAGTAGGTATGCTAGCAGACTGCTAGCAGATAGCAGTAGCTCCCAGTACCAGGTGGTGATTGATTATCGATCGATGTCCCCGCTCCCGACTGTTGCTTGACTCCCACTGTAGCTGACCAGCTGCACAGCTACAAAAAGCTAGCTAGCTGCATCGCCAGTCCTAAAACGCGATCGACGGCACGGAGAGACCGTACCGTACCGGTAGGACTGTAGCCACTCTCACCGGTTCGTGGTAGCTCTAGCCAGCTAGGGCAGCCTCTGGGGAGGGGCAGCTGGGGGGAGGCACCTTACCAAGAGTTCCAGGCACCAACGATCGAGTGAGAGTCAGCCTTTTGGAGGACCTACTACAGTAATATCTGGCCAGCTACAGTACTAGCTAGAGCTTGGCTGTAGCTGAAGCCAAGAACTCGACAGAATAGAATAAGGAGTAATAATAACCAAAGCTACTCCAGAAAAACTATGGCAAGACTTACCAAGAGCTGGTGAGTGACTAGCTCATCCTCGGTGCAAGTTGCTTACAGCGAATGGAATCTCGAGTAAGAATTTTGGCATCAAGATTCGTTGGATGCCTCTCAAACACGGCAGAGGAGTGGAGTGGACCCGTGCCGCCGTATCGAGTGAGTTTTAGCTGTAGAGGAGTCTGTGCCTCCTTATGGCCTTACATTCCTCAATGGAATCTAAACCGATGATTCGATTCGTTTCATTCTCTCGCCCTTGGGTCAGCTCATCGGTGAGCTTGAACTCTCCGGCACATTGATTTGTAACGTACCAGCGGTAGTCTGAAATCTCCGCATTGGCTGAATTTTTTTTGACTTGGCTGGATGAGAGGCGAGCTACGGTAGACTACATAAGGGGTGGTTCTGGCTGGCTGGCCAATTTTTGCTATGATGGCACAACACGCACGGAGCGTTTTGCAGGTGGTCTGATCCAATACGAACGAAACTCGTCGATCCAAGACGAGCGCTCTCCGCTTACTTTTGTTTCGTGTCCTGCTGTGCTGCAGCTGACAAAGTCTATTTCTCCACACATTACTACGTTTGTCGTTCCAGGGTCTTTTGGCCACTGAATACAAGGTCAGGGATGGATCGAACTCCAATTCGACTCGACTCTTGTCGCAGCCAACGGTACCCCCGGATCTGATAGCTTTAGTTCTGAATGACGAAACGAATGGATCAGCCAATCGGCGGGAGACGAAACGGAAGCCCACGAGCGAGTGTTGTCTGCAAATAAGACCCTACTATCATGGACTTGGCAAGTCACGAACCAAACTGAGTGGAACAGATGACCACAATGCGAGTTTTAGTAATGGCTGTGCACAACACCAAGCGCTGCTCTATGAGTTTTCTGAAACAGAGACACTGTGAAACGTGTATGTATTATGCATTATCTGCGGATGCGTCTTTTCCAAACACAGCCAAGCCCACCAGTCTCATGGAGAAGCAAACTTAGCTCAGGGCTCTCATGCAGTGATTGTCAAGGTTAATGTAGATGTGCCCTTGTGCTTGTCTGACCCGTTGAACAACTGTGCCGTAATCGTAAATTGTGAGTTTGAATACCCAAACCCATTAAAGTCAGAGCTGGAAGTGCAGCCACTGGAACTCCCACAGACAGTATAGGGTGACCCGTCATTATCCGTATTGATTTCTGAACCATTCACTTCAAAAACCACGTACCAGGATGATGCTCCCCCCGAAATATCCACAACGATGTTCCATTGATATGTCAGATCCGCAGAATTGATTGTGCCCCCATTTGACAAGGTGCTCACAACTGCATTGCCGTTGTCCGCATCAACTAGAGAGAAATCGCCCAATTGGCCAGTATCTGATGTTGGAGCAGAGCTCGATTCGCTGGGAGCTGCACTCGATTGGCTTGGAGCTGCACTTGATTGGCTCGGTGCTGCACTTGATTGGCTGGGAGCGGCACTCGGTGCAAGACTGGGGAGGGAGCTGGGGGCAGAACTTGGAGACTCGGATTGAGTAGAGCTAGGAGCGGCACTTGATTGGCTTGGTGCTGCACTTGGTGCAAGACTGGGGAGGGAGCTGGGGGCAGAACTTGGAGACTCGGATTGAGAAGAGCTAGGAGCGGCACTTGATTGGCTCGGTGCTGCACTTGATTGGCTGGGCTGCACTCGGTGCAAGACTGGGGAGGGAGCTGGGGGCAGAACTTGGAGACTCGGATTGAGAAGAGCTAGGAGCGGCACTTGATTGGCTCGGTGCTGCACTTGAGACTTGGTGCAAGACTGGGAGCTGCACTCGGTGCAAGACTGGGGAGGGAGCTGGGGGCAGAACTTGGAGATTGAGAAGAGCTAGGAGCGGCACTTGATTGGCTTGGTGCTGCACTCGGTGCAAGACTGGGGAGGGAGCTGGGGGCAGAACTTGGAGACTCGGATTGAGAAGAGCTAGGAACGGCACTTGATTGGCTCGGTGCTGCACTCGGTGCAAGACTGGGGAGGAGCTGGGGGTAGAACTTGGAGATTGAGAAGAGCTAGGGCGGCTTGATGCCTTGGTGAAGACTGGGGGAGCTGGGGGAAGAACTTGGAGATTGAGAAGAGCTAGGAGCGGCACTTGATTGGCTTGGTGCTGCACTCGGTGCAAGACTGGGGAGGGAGCTGGGGGCAGAACTTGGAGACTCGGATTGAGAAGAGCTAGGAGTGGCACTTGTTGGCTCGGTGCTGCACTTGCCGCGCTTGGAGCTGCACTTGATTGGCTGGGAGCCGCACTGGCTGCGCTGGGAGCGCACTCGCTGCCTGGACGCACTTGATCGCTTGTGCTGCACTGCGCACTGGGAGCTGCACTCACTGACTTGGTGCTGCACTTGCTGTGCTGGGGGCTGCACTTGATTCACTGGGAGCTGCACTTGCTGCACTGGAGTTGCACTTGCCGTGCTTGGAGCTACACTTGATTCGCTTGGTGCACTGATCGCTTGGAGCGCACTGCTGCACTGGGAGCTGCACTTGCCGCGCTTGGAGTTGAACTTGGTGCTGCACTGGCTGCCTGGGGCGCACTTGACTGATCACTAGGAGCTCACTTGCTGCACTGGGAGTTGCACTTGCCGTGCTTGGAGCTCACTTGATTCGCTTGGTGCTGCACTCGCTGACTTGGAGCCGCATGGCTGCACTGGAGCTGCACTTGCCGCGCTTGGAGTTGCACTTGATTCGCTTGGTGCTGCACTGGCTGCACTGGGAGCAGCACTGGCTGCACTGGGAGCTACACTTGCCACGCTTGGAGCTGCAATGGAATCGCTGGGAGCTGCACTGGCTGCGCTGGGAGTTGCACTTGCCATGCTTGGAACCACACTCGATTCGCTTGGTGCTGCACTCGCTGTACTTGGAGCCGCACTGGCTGCACTGGGAGCTGCACTTGCCGCGCTTGGAGTTGCACTTGATTCGCTTGGTGCTGCACTGGAATCGCTGGGAGCAGCACTGGCTGCACTGGGAGCTACACTTGCCACGCTTGGAGCTGCACTGGAATCGCTGGGAGCTGCACTGGCTGCGCTGGAGTTGCACTTGCCATGCTTGGAACCACACTCGATTCGCTTGGTGCTGCACTCGCTGTACTTGGAGCAGCACTTGATACACTCGGTGCTCCACTTGCCACGCTGGGAGCCGCACTCGCTGCGCTTGGAGCTGTAGTTGATTTGCTTGGTGCTGCACTCGCTGCACTGGGAGCTGCACTTGCCAAGCTTGGAGCTGCACTGGATTCACTGGGAGCTGCACTGCTGCTGGGAGCTGCACTTGCCGTGCTTGGAGCGACACTCGATTCGCTTGGTGCTGCACTCGCTGACTGAGCGCACTTAGATGCTGCGGACTGCACTTGGTGCTGCACTTGGCACAAGACTGGGGCTACGGCTGGGAATAGAGCTAGGGAAATCAGAAGTGCTCGGTGCTGCACTTGATGCACTTGGTGCTAGACTGGGGGGAGAACTTGGAGACTGAGCAGAACTCGGTGCTGCGCTTGATGCACTTGGTGCAAGACTGGGGCTACCTGGAGCAGAGAAGAGTCGAAGGCTTACTTGGGGCAGTGCTTGGATTAGTGCTTGGGGAAGCAGATGTCGGGGCGGCCGTTGATGGACTTGCAGTTGTAGGGGTAGCTGTGGGACTTCCTGCCGTGACTGTAGGGCCTGCAGTTGTTGGGCTTGCTGTAGTGGGTCTAGCAGTTGAAGGCGTAGCAGTTGAGGGGATAGCTGTTGTGGGGTTAGCCGTCGATGGACTTGCTGTTGTAGGAGTAGCTGTGGGACTTCCTTCAGTCACTGTAGGGCCTGCAGTTGTTGGGCTTGCTGTAGTGGGTGTAGCAGTTGAAGGCGTAGCAGTTGAGGGAATAGCTGTTGTGGGGTCAGCCGTCGATGGACTTGCTGTTGTAGGAGTAGCTGTGGGACTTCCTTCAGTCACTGTAGGGCCTGCAGTTGTTGGGCTTGCTGTAGTGGGTGTAGCAGTTGAAGGCGTAGCAGTTGAGGGAATAACTGTTGTGGGGTTAGCCGTCGATGGACTTGCTGTTGTAGGAGTAGCTGTGGGACTACCTGCAGTGACTGTTGGACCCATAGTTGTTGGGCTTGCTGTAGTGGGTGTAGCAGTTGAAGGCGTAGCAGTTGAGGGATAGCTGTTGTGGGGTTAGCCGTCGATGGACTTGCTGTTGTAGGAGTAGCTGTGGGACTACCTGCAGTCACTGTAGGGCCTGCAGTTGTTGGGCTTGCTGTTGTGGGTGTGCAGTGAAGGGTAGCGGTTGAGGGAGTAGTGGATGTTGGGGTGGCTGTCGATGGACTTGCTGTTGTAGGAGTAGCTGTGGGACTACCTGCAGTCACTGTAGGGCCTGCAGTTGTTGGGCTTGCTGTAGTGGGTGTAACAGTGGAGGGAAGAGCTGTTGAGGGTGGGGTGGCCGTGGATGGGCTTACTGTTGTAGGAGAAGCTGAGGGACTACCAGGAGTGACTGTAGGACCTGCAGTTGTCGGGCCTGCTGTGGTGGGTGTGGCTGTTGAAGGTGTAGCGGTTGAGGGGATAGCTGTTGTGGGGTTAGAAGTCGTAGGGGTAGATGTGGGATTGCCAGGAGTTACTGTGGGACCTGCAGTTGTTGGGTCAGCTGTTGTGGGAATAGCTGTTGTAGGGGTAGCAGTTGTGGGGATGGCAGTGGATGGGGTTGCTGTTGTAGGAGTAGCTGGGGACTTCCTGCAGTCACTGTTGGACCCAGAGTTGTCGGGCCTGCTGTGGTCGGTGTTGCAGTTGAAGGCGTAACAGTTGAGGGTGTGCAGTTGCAGGGGTGGCAGTCGATGGGCTTGCTGTTGTGGGAGCAGCTGTGGGACTACCAGGTGTGACTGTGGGACCTGCAGTTGTTGGGCCAGCTGTTGTGGGAGCAGCCGTGGGACTACCAGGAGTGACTGTGGGACCCGCTGTTGTTGGGCCAGTTGTTGTGGGAGAAGCTGAGGGACTACCAGGAGTGACTGTGGGACCTGAGGTTGTTGGGCCAGCTGTGGTGGGAGAAGCTGAGGGACTACCAGGAGTGACTGTGGGACCGGCAGTCGTTGGGCTGCTTGTGGTTGGGCTTCCAGTGATCAGGGTCTCACTGATATAAACTCCTGATGTTCCTGTTAGGCTAGAAAAGGCAGCAACAAAGTCGGCTCTTTGTGTGGCACTCCCCAAAAAGGGATTAGCACTTGTCTCATCCACTGTGACAGAAAGTTCCAGATGAAAGTTTGCATTTCCAACTTGCAGTTTTCGCCTGCCAATCTTCTGTGTTATCGTTACATTGGTCACAATTGCAGCACACGTTGTTTCCGTTACGAAATCATTAGCCCTGACAAAATTTGAAGTCAAAGTATCATCTTGGACAGAAGAGATGTCGTTGGTGAACCCCATGTAGTATGTGGTGGTGACGGATGTATAGCCACAAGTAGGGGCACCAGTTGGCACTTGTGTTGATGGAAAAGATGTTGTGGGGCTACTACTGGGCCGTCCTGCTGTTACTGTTGGTGTTCCTGTAGTTGGTGGCTTAGTTGGAGCTTCTGTAGGTTGGCCTGTTGGTGCTGGTGTGGGGGCTGATGTTGGCAGTGGGGTGGGTTGGTTGGTTGGCCTAGATGTGGGGGCTGCTGTTGGAGAGGGTGTAGGCTGTCCTGTAGGAGCTGGAGTGGGTTGGCCAGTTGGTGCTGGCGTTGGCGGTGCAGAGGGATTCAAAGTTGTTGGAGAAGCACTGGGACTTCCCTCAGTCACTGTTGGAACCAAAGTTGTGGGACTGGCTGTGGAAGGAGTTCCCGTAGGTGATCCAGTAGTGGGACTCGCTGTAGTTGGTCCGATTGTGGTGGGGCTGGTGGTCGTGGGGTTGCTCGTGCTGGGACCTGCACTGGTTGGGCCTCCAGAAGTTGGGCCGTCAGGAGTGGGGCCAGCTGTTGTTGGGGCATCCGGGGTGGGGCCAGCAATGGTCGGGGCATCAGGAGTAGGAATAGCAGCTGTTGGGGCATCAGGGGTGGGGCCAGCAACAGTCGGGACACCAGGAGTAGGACTAGCAGTTGTTGGGGCATCAGGAGAAGGGCTAGCAGTTGTTGGGGCATCACGAGAGGGGCTAGCAGTTGTTGGGGCACCAGGAGTGAAGCCAGCAGTTGTTGGGCTGAAAGTGGTAGGGATGGCAGAGGTTGGAGCTTGGCCATTTGTGTCACCAGGTGAACCAGTTTGTCTTGATGTGGATGCTCCTGGCTGTGTATTTTTCGATGGTGCCTGGGTGGTAGGTTCTGCAGTTGTTGGGGCAGATGGGGTTGGCTCTTGTGTTGTTGGGGCAGATGGGGTCGGCTCATGTGTTGTTGGGGATGCCTTGGCAGCAGCACCTGTTCCAGTTGGTGCACCACTACCAGCTTTTGAATCAGTCGTTTCTGTGGGCATTGCTGTAGTCGGTGATGCTGCGACTGGCACGGCTGCTGGGGCATCACTGCTTTTGCTTGGACTCAAAGAATGCGCTGTAGTTGGCTCTTGCGACTTGCTTGGGGCATCCGAAGGAGCATTTGATGGCTGGGTGGACAGGGTGGGGGCCTCTGTGGGTGCCGCGGTATAAGCAGTGAAATAGCTTTCAATAGGCGCTGCAGAGGGGGCCCCTGAGGCTGCTGTTACGATGTCTGCAGTCTCTGCATTTACACTGGTCTCTGCAACAATCTTGTCTTCATCATTAGGATCCACAACAGAACCATAAAACAGTCGAACAGTTGGTTCCCCGCCTCTGTCTGGACCTTGTTCTTGTTCAGGTCCCATTGGGAAGTTTTCTTCGATTTCAAAGATGAAGGCCTCGACAAAGTCGGAATACAAACGGTTGTTGGAGAGCAATGAGATGCCACTTTGCAGAGAACGTGTCTTGCCGACACCGTTCTTCTCCATTGCGACTTCACTGGGTCCAGTTGAACCACCAAACAAGCAATTCTGATCAGGACATCCCACACAAGTCATTGTAACCTTCCATTTTGTGTACGTGAAGAGCATGGTTGGGCCAGCCTGGACACTATTGATATCTGTCAATTCGACATTGTGGGCCACTCGTAGAAAGTCTCCACTGCACATTCCTGAGAGAGCATTGTAGCTGAGCTTGAATAGTTCTTCGAGTCGGGCTTGGTTGGCTTCCACAAATCCCAGAGGGAGGCCCTGAAGAACCAAGTTCGTGATGCCTTCTTTCAGTTCTGTGACTTCTTCAAAGCCAGGACACACAGACATGGACCAGCTGTAGGCAGATTCATTCAAGTCAATGACGACATCATCAAGGTCATTATCCAAAGGGCCTCCTCCTGTCATGTTTGGAAGGTTGGAGGTGTTGGCAGCAGTGCCATTGAACTCATTCCCAAGGATGTCATCAAAGACATCACCAAGAGCGCCCGCCACATCGTCAATATCTCTAGCTGTCCCATTCTTGCCGAGACCAAGCCCAGCGCCATGCTCCACAAGGAGTGTGCCGTTGATAAGACTGGTTCCGTTCACTGCGGTGGTGACATTGGTACTGTTGGTGGTTTCCATGGCACTCATCATGACCATTCCAGTGGAAACCGCAGTAGTGGTGACAATGGCAGCAGCTCCGACGGCCACAGCAACTTGTGTGGCGAGTGAGGCCGTGGCCACACCTGCCAGTGCCTGTCCCACAATCCCTGTGGTAACGGCCGCCGCCGTTGCCGTACCAACCGCAGCGGAACTTCCGGCTGCTGCCGAGGTAGCCATACCTTGAGCAGCTGCCGTGGCCATGTTCTGTGTAGCCCCTTGGAGTGCCCTGAGAAACAACAGATTCCAAAACAGTAAAGAGAGAAAACGTCCATGAACGAGGAGCTGTGAGGAAATTCGCCCCAAAAAGCATCATGGGGAGACAATCAATGAACAAACGTACAGATAGGTGGGATTCCCCAAATTGGCCACAGATTGTTGCTGTGCTTGTAGGAGCATGGCGGTTCTGGCATTCCCAGCGACCTCATCGGCCGCTGCCTCTGCGGCTTCTTGTGCCAGTTCTTCTGCGCTGGGTTCCCCGTTTCCCATGCATTTTTGAACCAATTTTGAAATTAATTTCATGCAGAGGAGCAGTCCACAAGCGGATAGAATGGCAAAGAGAAGGGATTGTCGGACCTTTTTTTCGTTCTGTTCGGCCATATCGACGGTGGATGGTTCATCCTGCTGAGAATCGCTCATGATGGAGTCGAGATTTCGACTTTCTTCATCGTCATCATTGTAATCGTTGTGTTCTTCTTTTTTACTGGCATCCTTGAGTAGATCGACATCCTCCATTTCTCCTGCGTCTTCGTAGTTGCTTGGCTCGTCCGAGGGATGAGCACTGCCCTGTTCCAAAAAACTTTGACTCATAGAGTCTCTGGATTGGCGTGGCTGGAGAGAAACTCGTATCATTGTCGAGTTCTCACTGCTTTGTAGGAAACAGAGGAACCATAGAAAGAGTAGAGATTGGTTGAGAAAGAAAGAGTCAGAATGAGCATGAGTATGGGGCCAGCTAGCTAGAAAGGGGAAAGAAAACTCACGTGGGAGAGTCATCGCCCTGATGATAATAGGACTCTTGATAAGATTCCTCATAGTCTTCTTCGTCATCATCCTCTTCCTCTTGTGGCTCTTCAGTGGAAGTGCCCTCTTCTTCTTGTTCTTCTGCCAGAGGCTCCTGATGGTTAGGGTTAGCCTGACCTTGACCTCTAGGAGTGTAGGGCATACCAGCAGCATAGGCAGGAAAACTGCCCAAGGACGCCTCTTCCATGAGAAAACTCAGATTCATCGAGACTTCCGACATGTTGTTCGTCTCATCGTCATCACCACCCACAAATCGGGTGGGAGGACCAGTGCCTTCCATTCCGTTGGCAGAGTCGTACTCGTTATCGTTCATTCTTTGTTATGATACTGTATCTGTGCTGCTATAGTAAGTATGTCTGCCTGATCTAAGATAAGAGGCTGACTGCTCTTCTGTCGTCCTGCTTGCTAGCTAGCTCTGGTTATGATCGCTGTGATATCAAACTGGACTGTGAGATAGATAACAACCGCTGTGAGATAGATAACAACCGCAATGATAAACAGGCTGTGACGAGAAAAGTTGAGCTAAAGTGGTGGGCTTCGGGCTTCGGCTTCTCAAGCGGTGATGTTTGCGGTGGCGCCCTCAATGCCTTGTTTCTGCCTTCTTGTGCCTGTTTAAAATTTGGGTGGTCAAAGTCACCGGCCATAACAAACGTTGCCCCGCAAGGAACAAAACCAGGTCGTAAAGAAAATAAGGATTAGCTCATTATGACTTCAATGAGGTTTAGATAATTATTGCCAACAATGACCATCCTAGAGAAATATCGACCGTAAACATTCTTTGTTTTAGAGTCCAAGACTCAGTACAAAAGTACTGAATGAGGGCACCGTACAGCTTTGGGTAGCTGCTGCTACTATTAAAAGGGTTAATAGCCAGCAACAGACTTTTTAACTGGATGGTTTCCCCGAGCCCTAACGAGACCCAACACAACTTCCACGGAGGCGCCTCCCACGCACACGCCCAAAGCAAATCCGTGGTCAAAGACTTGTGAAAGGTCCTGCATTGCAGTTTTTCGGCTTCTATTGTCGTATCGTACCGGTATGCTACGGTATGTAACGATGAGATTGATAGCACAACACACTATTCAATCCTGTCTCGGGGATGCAGTGGACGGTCAAACTCTAGGTTACGCGGGTGCAGATGCAGATGCACGGCACCGATATGGAGCAACTGTTACTGGTGGTGTCGTCGTGAACCCGGGATAATGGTAACAACAATTCATACGTTGCTCTGATTCTTGAAGCGTTTCTGCCCAAACCCTCAGGACAAACATTTACAGAAATGCCTCATGGTTCTGACGCGGCTAGCTAGCTACCTCCAACATTGTTTGCTTGGATCGACTTCCGCCCTGTATGGTGTACTCCTCGAAATTCCGAGCCCCGAGCCCCGAGCTGGTTACACCAAATAGGAATATAGTCCTCGTCGGAAGAATCTCGCTCGTCGGCAAGTAGACAGCGCTGTGTTGCTTTCGCGTTGACAGGATCGACAACTCAACCATCAGGCTGGTCGCCGTCCTCTTTCATGACGACGACGTTCCCTGCTGTGCTCAAATTTTGCAGCCACTGCCTCTTTTGCAGGATCTCTGGCGAGGTCTACTACCGTACCGCACGACGACGAGTACCGGAGCTAGCCACCGGCCTCCGAGCCAAGCCGGGCGCGCACTGAAGAAGACGCAGGGGTACGTGTAATGTATCGGTTATCGAAGCACGGATTGCCTTTGAAGCGAAGGACAACAAGAACGGAACCAAAAGTTACCACCAACATGCGTGAATCGGTTGAGCATCTCTGCGGTCATTTTGAAGAATAGCAGAAAGATAACGCCGCCTTCCAGAAGAAATTGACTATCAGAATGCTGGTCAATCTCCAAAAGTATTGCTCCCTCAAAGGCAACTCGACGTGGGTGAGCCAGGAAATCTTGATTTGCTTCGCAAAAGAGTTTGTGACCGAGAGGGTAGGTGGAAGTGGGAGTGACTCAACTAACTGCTACGGGTTATAGCCAACGGCTAATGCTTGGTTTTGAACATGAATTATGGGTTATCGTAATGGAGACTTTGAAACTGGAAATTACATGCAATACATTCCGATTATGGGTAAGCTGTGAACTTCCAACCCCACCAACATTGCCCCCATGTTGTCCCCCCCCCCCAAGCTCTGAGCCTTATGCTTCGATTGTCAAGCTTATAGAGGCTGTGCCCTGAAGGTTATTGCCTGCATTGTACAACTCTGCGGTCAGGGTGAATGATGTGCTTGAATAGCCCGATCCATTGAAGTCAGCACTGGAAGTGCAGGTACTGGCACAGACAGTGTAGTCAACTGCGGTGTCCGTCCGTATTTCGGTACCATTGACCTTAAAAATCACATACCAGGATGCTGATCCCCCACTCCTGGTAATAACTATGTTGTAATTGTATCCCAACGTAGAAGCAGTAAATGACGCCCCATTCGACAAGGACTGTTTCACTTCATTGGAGTTGTCTGCATCAACAAGCGAAAAATTTTCCAATTGACCAGATGGTGCAGTTGGGGGAGAAGTTGGTGCGGCTGTGGGTGCAAAGGTTGGTGGTTCCGTTGGAAGCGGGGTTGGTGGTTCAGTGGGAGTTTCGGTAGGTGGATCTGTTGGGGCCTCTGTAGGTGCTTTAGTGGGAGTCTGGTAGGTGCTTTAGTGGGAGTCTGGGTAGGTGCTCTAGTGGGAGCCTTGGTGGGTGCTTTAGTGGGAGCCTGAGTAGGGGATTTAGTTGGTGCTTTAGTGGGAGCCTTGGTGGGTGCTTTAGTGGGCCTGAGTGGGGATTTGTTGGTGCTTTAGTGGGAGCCTTGGTGGGTGAAATGGTAGGGGGGTCTGTTGGGGCTTCTGTAGGTGGATTTGTTGGGGCCTCTGTTGGTGACGGAGTAGGAGGTTCTGTTGGAGCCAAAGTTGTGGGAGTAGCCGTGGTTGGTTGGGCCGTTGTTGGTTTTGCAGTGCTTGGTTGGGGCGTGGTGGGTGTTGCAGTGCTTGGACTTGCTGTAGTTGGTTGCAAAGTAGCGGGTGAAGCAGTGCTGGGTTGGGCAGTAGTTGGAGTTGCGGTGGTTGGGTTCTGTGTAGTGGGCTGCAAAGTTGTCGGGGAAGCAGTGCTAGGGCTCGCTGTGGTTGGAGCAGCACTAGGGCTCCCAGCAGTTGCTGTGGGGTTCAAGGTCGTTGGTGCATTTGTTGGTGCCTCGGTTGGAGCTAAACTGGGTGGGTTTGTTGGGGATTCAGTTGGCCGAGATGTTGTTGGGGTTGCAGAGGGTGACTCAGTGATTGGGCTCCCTGTTGTTGGCTGGGCTGTGGTTGGGCTTTTTGTTGGTGCAGTAGTGCTAGGGCTTGCTGTGGTTGGCGTGGCGCTAGGGCTCCCACCAGTTGCTGTGGGGCTCAAAGTTGTTGGGCTTGCCGTAATGGGCGCCACTGTTGAGGGCGCAATAGATGTTGGGATAGTTGTAGACGGATTTGTTGTTGTAGGCATGGCGGTGGGACTGCCTGCAGCCATTGTCGGACTCGTAGTTGCTGGAGTAGGAGTTGTTGGGGTGGCCGTGGATGGGCTTGCTGTTGTAGGAGTAGCTGTGGGACTTCCCTCAGTCACGGTGGGGCCAGAGTTGTTGGCTTGCTGTAGTGGGTGTAGAGTGGAGGGAAAGCTGTTGTTGGGGTGCCGTGATGGCTTGCTGTTGTAGGAGTAGCTGTGGGACTACCTGCAGTGACTGTTGGACCCATAGTTGTTGGGCTTGCGGTAGTGGGTGTAGCAGTGGAGGAGAGCGTTGAGGGGTACGTTTTGGGGTGGCGTGATGGCTTCTGTTGTAGGAGAGCTGAGGGACTACCAGGAGTGACTGTAGGACCTGAGTTGCCGGGCCTGCTGTGTGGGTGTGCGTTGAAGGTGTAGCGGTTGAGGGGATATCTGTTGTGGGGTTAGTAGTCGTAGGGGTAGATGTGGGATTACCAGGAGTACTGTGGACCTGCAGTTGTTGGGCCAGCTGTTGTGGGCGTGGCAGTTGAGGGCTTAGTGGTTGTTGGGGTGGCTGTCGATGGAGTTGCTGTTGTAGGAGTAGTTGAGGGACTTCCTGCAGTCACGGTTGGACCAGGAGTTGTCGGCCCTGCTGTGGTCGGTGTAGCAGGTGAAGGCGTAACAGTTGAGGGTGTAGCAGTTGCAGGGGTGGCAGTCGATGGGCTTGCTGTTGTGGGAGCAGTCGTGGGACTACCAGGTGTGACTGTGGGACCTGCCGTTGTTGGACCTGCTGTTGTGGGAGAAGCTGAGGGACTACCAGGTGTAACTGTGGGACCTGTAGTTGTTGGGCCAGCTGTTGTGGGAGAAGCTGAGGGACTACCAGGAGTGACTGTGGGACCTGCTGTTGTTGGGCCAGCTGTGGTGGGAGAAGTTGAGGGACTACCAGGACTGACTGTGGGACCTGAGGTTGTTGGGCTGCTTGTAGTTGGGCTTCCAGTGACCAGGGTCTCACTGATATAAACTCCTGAAGTTCCTGTTAGGCTGGAAAAGGCAGTGACAAAGTCAGCTCTTTGTGTGGCACTCCCCAAGAAGGGATTAGCACTTGTCTCATCCACTGTGACAGAAAGTTCCAGATGAAAGTTTGCACTTCCAACTTGTAAGCCAATCTTCTGTGTTATGTTCACATTGGTCACAATTGCAGGGCACGTAGATTCTGCCACAAAATCATTAGCCCTGACAAAATTTGAAGTCAAGATCTCATCTTGGACAGAAGAGATGTCATCGGTGAACCCCATATAGTATGTGGTGGTGACGGATGTATAGCCACAAGTTGGGGCAGCAGTGGGAACCTGTGTTGATGGTGAAGATGTTGTGGGGCTTGCCGTTGTTGGAGTAGCACTGGGCTCGCCGGATGCCACAGTTGGGGTTCCAGTTGTGGGAGTGCCTGTGCTGGGAGCATCCGTTGGTGGAAGTGTGGGCACTGGAGTGGGCTGTCTTGTGGGAGCTGGTGTGGGGCCTCCTGTTGGCATCGGGGTGGGCTGTCCTGTTGGTGAGGGTGTGGGTTGATTTGTTGGCCTTCTTGTGGGAGCTGGGGTCGGAGAGGATGTGGGTTGATTTGTTGGCTTTCTTGTGGGATCTGGGGTTGGAGAGGGTGTGGGTTCATTTGTTGGCCTTCGTGTAGGGGAGGGTGTGGGTTGGCCAGTTGGCTGTGGTGTTGGGGCTGATGTCGGTGAGGTTGTTGGTGCCACAGATGGGTTCAATGTTGAGGGATTTGCACTGGGACTACCCGAAGCCACTGTTGGGCCCAAAGTTGTCGGGCTTGCCGTCGAAGGTGATACATCAGTGGGGCTTCTTGTAGTTGGTCCTGCAGTGGTGGGGATGTTGGTTGTGGGGTTGCTTGTGCTGGGGCCAGCAGTTTCTGGGCTACCTGTACTTGGAGCAGCGGTAACGGGAGATCCAGTACCAGTAGGTGCACTTGTTATTGGGCTGCTAGTAGCGGGATTGGCAGTTGTCGGGGCTTGGCCAGAAGGGTCACTGGTTGTTGGGCTGCTTGTGGTGGGATTGGCAGTTGTTGGCGCTTGCCCAGCTGGCTGCCCAGGTGAATCAGTCTGCCTTGCATTGCTAGAAACAACCGGTTGTGTGTCTTGTGTTGGTGCTTGAGTTGTGGGCGTTTGCGTTGTGGGTACTGCTGCAGTTGGAGTTCGTGTGGTTGGAGTGTCCGAGGGGCTCTCGGACTGAGTACTTGTCGGTGAGTCACTAGTTTGACTTGGCGCGTTTGATGTTGAACCAGAGGGAGACCCTGAGGGTGATTCACTGCTTCGGCTTGGAGGTAAAGATGAAGCTGTACTTGGCTCTTGTGATTTGCTGGGAACGTCAGAAGGAGCTGCGGTTGGCTCTTGTGACTTGCTTGGAGCATCCGAAGGAGCATTCGATGGCTGGGTGGACACTGTTGGGGAATCTGTGGGTGCCGATGTAAAAGCAGTGAAGAAATCTCCGATCGGTGCTGCAGAGGGGGCCCCCGAGGCTGCTGTCACCTTGTCTGCGGTCTCTGCATTTACACTGGTCTCTGCAACAATCTTGTCCTCATCATTAGGATCCACAACAGAACCATAAAACAGTCGAACAGTAGGTTCTCCAGTTCTGTCAGGATCTAGTTCTTGTTCAAGCGCATCAGGGAAGTTTTCTTCGATTTCAAAGATGAATGCTTCCACAAAGTCGGAATACAAACGACTGCTGGTGAGAAGAGAGATTCCATTCTGCAGAGCGCGTGTCTTGCCCAAACCGTTCTTCTCCATTGTGACTTCACTGGGTCCAGTTGAACCACCAAACAAACTGTTCTGATCAGGACATCCCACACAAGTCATTGTTACCTTCCATTTTGTGTACGTGAAGAGCATGGTTGGGCCAGCCTGGACACTATTGATATCTGTCAATTCAACATTGTGGGCCACTCGAAGAAACTCTCCACCACACATTCCTGAGAGAGCATTGTAACTGAGCTTGAATAGTTCTTCGAGGCGGGCTTGGTTGGCCTCTACAAATCCAGGAGGGAGTCCCTGAAGAACCAAGTTTGTGATGCCTTCTTTTAGTTCCGTGACTTCTTCCAGGCCAGGGCACACAGGCACTGACCAGTTGTAGGCAGATTCATTCAAGTCAATGACATCATCATTTTCAACAGGGACTCCTCCAGTCACATTTGAAAGGGTGGGGGCGCCGGTGGCAGGGACATTGAACTCCGGCCCAAGGACATTGTCGATACCACTAGGTGTGCCGTTGTTGCCAAGGCCGAGACCGATCCCAAGCCCAGCTGTAGAAGTACTGGTGCCATGATCATCAAGGATTGTGTCGTTGATGAGATTGGTTCCATTGATGGTCACAATAGTAGTAGTAGTATTGGTTTCTTCCATGGCATGCATCATGACTATTCCAGTGGAAACGGCAGTTGCAGTGACGATGGCAGCAGCTCCGACAGCCACTGCTAGTTGTGAGGTAAGTGAGGCAGATGCCACACCGGCCAGTGCTTGTCCCACAATCCCCGTGGAAACTGCTGCTGTCGTGGCAGCACCCGCAACAGCGGAACCTCCCGCAGCCGTGGAGCTAGCCGCCCCTTGAGCAGCTGCTGTGGCCATGTTCTGCGTGGTCCCTTGGAGTGCCCTGTTGACCGATTGAGGGTGATGAGAATCGATTTTCCACAATAAATTTCTTGGGGAGTGAGAGAGTGGATGAACTTACAAATAGGTTGGATTTGCCAAATTGGCCGCGGATTGTTGTTGTGTTTGCAGGAGCATGGCGGTTCTGGCATTCCCCACCACTTCATCCGCTGCAGCTTCTGCTGCTTCCTGGGCAACTTCATCTGCCCCAGGTACATCATCATCGCCCCCTTTGAGTCGGTTGACCAATTTGGAAATCATTTTCATGCAAAAGAGCATCCCACAGGCAGACAAAATGGCAAAGAGGAGAGAGCTTCTGACTTGCTTTTCCTTTGCTTCTGCCATATCGACCGTGGACGGTTCATCCTGTTGGGAATCACTCATTTGCGATTCCTGGTTTTGGCTTTCCTCATCTTCTTCCTCTTCGTAGTCTTCTTTTTTGCCAGCGGTAGTAGCCTTATGATCAAGGTCCACATCTTCCATGGGAGCATCGGATGTATCCACCGGGTCGTCGGATGACTGTCCTAGGTGGCACCCCAATAACGGGTCTTCCCCTGTGTCCCTAGCACTGCCCTGTTCCATAAAGCTATCCCGATGACTAAATGAGTCTCTGGATTGGCGTGGCTGGAGAGCAACTCGTATCATTGTCGAGTTCTCACTATTAAGAAAATAAAAGAAACAAAAAAAGACGAGTGAGTGATGATAAAACGAAGAAATTGGGCTCCCCGAGTGCTCTTTTCTTGTTTTTGTTTGAAGCAGCACTCACGTAGGCGGTTCATCTGCTTCGTCGTTGTCGTCTTGGTATTGCTCAGCATCATCATCTTCGTCTTCTTCTGTTGACGTGTCCTTGTCTTCTTCGTGTCCTTCCGTGACAGTCTCTTGGTGTTGTACTTCCGCGGTTCCTTGCCCCTTGCTGCTCTTGTAGGGAGAGGATGCCTCTTCCATGAGAAAACTCATATTCATTGACACTTCTGACATGTTGTTCAACTCGTCGTCTTCACTGCCAACTATGTGAATGGGGGGACTGTCTCCCTCCACGCCGTTGGTAGAGTTGTCATCGTTATCATCCATTGTTTGTAGTGGGCCGTATCTGTGATAGCTATTGGTAGTGTCTTATCCGTTCAGAGGGAACAAGTTTGTCTTATCTGTTTGATAGGCTTAGCTAGTAGTAGAACTGTTCTGTCGTCCTTCAGAAGGCAGTATGGAACTCAACAAGCAATCACTACAACAATAGAGGGAACCTTTACCAAAGAGAGTAAGAATGTAACGCAGGAGATCTCTAAGCTGGGCTTCGCAAGAGTGATGCTGCTTGGTTGCGGCGTGGTGGCTCACTACTCGTACTTCGACTAAAGAATGAGGTTTCTTGGGCACTATGACTCTATGATGGCCACATCATTTAAAGTCGCGTTTCGAGAGGAATTAGTAACATGTTGAGCTCTTTACTCTGAACCTTGCGTGAATTCTATAAAACTACGACTCCCAAGACTAGCCCCCAACATCAGTCCCGCAGCCACCGGCACATACCGGCACATTATTACTGGTGGTACTGGCTAGAGCTAGTCTAGAGTACAGTCGTACCAAATACCACCGGAACTTACAGGTCGGCAGGGAGCGATTGAATCGAATCGAATCAATCAATCGAATCGAATCTGTTCGATTCGTGGGGACAGTACCGCTACCTGGTGGTGGTACCATGTTGCAGCGCGCAATAAATGTGCTGCCCTCTGGCCATATCCAGCTAGCCACTGTCTGCCCACCTCCGGCTGCGGTCGCCTTTGGGTGAGTATAGCACGCTAAAATGTCATGTATGCATAGTCGAGCTATCTAGGAACCCAAAAGTATCGTTTTTGACATTGAAAAATACACTACGTATTCGTTACTGTTTCAATCTACAACCTTCGTGCAGCATGGAATCATCGCCCATCGTATTGACGCTCACTCACATGGATTCTGGAGTTTGCCACCAACGGACACATACAGTCCGGGTGGACCCGTGAGGTTTCCCAAGGCCATGACATCCATCTTGGCAATCTTTCCATCTTCCACATTGACCCAAACACGTTCAGGATCCAAAACCACATGTTTCCCACTGGCAGGAATGGCTGGCAAATCCATAAAGATGAGATTGCCGGTGTGGGTGCCGCTCACAACCAATTGTTCCACCAGAACTTCTCCAGGTCTGACTTCCTTGACAGACTCAAAGCTAAAGGACAAATCTTCAAAGGCTTGATAGAGCTTGTGGATCTCTGTTACCAACTGAACCGCTGTCAAGCACCCCTGATCATCAAACTTGACTGTGGCTGTTTCATGGAAGAGTGGAAGCAATTCCTCCGTGGTGGCGTGCCGGTTTTTGGCGTGCATATAATATCTCACGAGTTGTTCGTTCGTGAGCTTGATGGAAGATGAAGAGGAGTGGGAGGAGAATTGAGACTCGAAGATCGTTTCACTGGGATCAGCAGCATTCTTGGGCTTCTTGGATTGCTTCTTGGAACCCCCTTTGTTCTTGGTGGATTTGCCACTCTTCTTCTCTGTCTTCTTGCCCCCAGGAAAAAATAGAAAGCCCATGGTTTTGATTGAAGGACAAGGTGTATACCCTGTATCGTGAAGGATCCTCGAAAGCAAAGAATGTTGTAATTTGTGAACTTCCCTGGCTAGCTGGCTTCATGTAGACTAGTTGCCTCCAAATCTGCAATCTGCAATGGAAGGATTCTTTTCTCGGGATATCCTTGCCGAAATGCAAAGCTGGTGCCCCAAATGGAGATAATTGCCCAATTCTTTCCACTTGAAGAGAATTATAATTTTCCATCCAAGAGCATCGTGCTTTATAACAAATTTGTTGAACCCCACGTTCGAAAATCAACGTACCACCACGTGGCGGCAAGTCACCGGTACAAGCTTGGTCCGAGATCTAGCTAGCTAGCAAGAAAGAATTCGAAATAATGAAGGGGCTTCAAAGTGTACGCCTTGCTTCAGCGCTTCAGCCACTCCTTCAGATCAAGCTGGCTGCACGCTGCGGCTGCCAATCGGTGGATAAGCGGATCAATCGATGGATAAGCCGATCAGGCTCCAGATGCTGCATGCAGCATCCAGCTTGCCAGCTGGCCAGCTAGCTAGTAGTGAGAAGTGTTTTCGTTTGAGCTGCCACTCTCAGCGCACAGGGTCAACTTGAAATGAAACTTGTACCGGTACATGCAGCCTTGAAGCTACCGGTACCAACTGACTGGCTACCGGTAGCTTGTGTGGCCTCGTGAATCGAAGCGACCAAGGCGCTGAAAAACACCCAACTCCAACCCGGGGAGGTGGCACGGTTGGCAGCCTTTGTGTTTTGGCCGTCTTTGACTGAAGTGTTAAGCATGCACTGCAGCCGGCCGGACAACAAATGGACAGTAGCTAAGCACAAGAAGTTGGGGTTACAGGCATCAACCCGTAGAACGTTTTGGACCCAGGTGATTCAGTTCCTGGATCCACAAACATCAGACTCGCAAAGTCAAACTATAACGGTCTCCACAGCCATTCAGCACGACATTCCATTTCATATATGTATCTTTAGAACCATTACTAGTATAAAGGATGCATTGCACAAGCAAAGAGCTGAAACAGGCGGTGCTGGAAACACCTTGATCTCATTTAATTCTCTTTTGGCATCTCCAACTTGCCTCCAACTGACACATACAACCCAGGCGGGCCTGTAAGGTTCCCTAATGCTGTGACTTCCATCCTGTGAATCTTGCCATCCTTCAAAGTAAACCACAAGCGTTCTGGATCCAATACCACATGTCGGTTTGTGGCAGGAATGACAGGGAAGTCCATCACCCGAAGATCAGCAGTATGCGTTCCAGTGACAACCAAATGTTCCACAAGCACTTCTCCTGGACGAACTTCTTCAATAGACTCATAGGTGAACAGGATGTTCTCAAATCCTTCATAGAGCTTGCGAATCTCCAAAACCAATTGACAAGCTGTCATGGATCCATGATCGTCAAAGTTTGCCTTGGCATCTTCTGAGGTATAGTATGAAAGCAACTCTTCCACGGGAGCATGTCGATTCTTGGCTGCCATGTAAGCCTCAATGATTTCCTTGTTCCCAATCCGTACGGAATACATGGATGCCTGAGATTCGCACATTGTTTCAGAAGCATTGACACACTGCTGCTCTTTCTTGGATCCTCCCACATCCTTCGAGGCTTTGACGGCCTTGGTGCGTCGAAACAGCTTGAAGAATCCCATGGTTTTGGTTTCGAGCGCACTGCTTCTGAACTTCTTGATATCGATGTTGCGAAGGGGGTTGCTTTTGAAACCTCCAAAGTGTAAAAGTATGAGCCCAAGCGGTACAATGGATTGGGAAGAGGGAAGAGGCAGTTTCGCAGGATGCTGAAGACACCGCGACACACAATGATGCGTGCTCCAAGGTCTTGTTTGTACGTACTGTACTCGTAATGGCACCGTGAGTCAACCCCTTTAAGCAATGGCGGGAAAGCGGTGGCTTCTACGTTCTGTGTCTTTATAGCTGCTTTCATGTTCCTTTAAGAATTAAAAGCGTATGTGGAGGTTTGCAGGAGTTCTCCCAAAAGCATTACTAGTATTGCCTACTTCCTACTTCCTTACGAGTAGTGTCCTCATGTAAAACCTTGGTCTGCAACAATAGAATTAGATTGTCAGAGGCAACGAGATCATCGAGACGATGGATAAACTCGAGGCAACGTGGTCGGAATGTTTGATCAAGACACCCCAGTCCCTCGCCGACCGAAAGGTCTGGTAGGCAGAGATGACCGGGTACAAGTAGCCCGAAGCCTACAGTATCATGAGCAACAGTTCTGCTACGCCCTGCACGCACTGTACCTGCGCAAATTAGGTGAAATTTCTCAAGTCAAGGTTGTCGATCAGACCCGCTTCATAGATGCATCATTGATTTCAATCATTCATATACAGTTCTAAGTATGCATTATACACTATTGTGAATGGAACCTATTTGCCCCTTACATGGGCTCCTCATGGGGAGAGCGAGTGGCCAACAATCAGGTACTTGCACTCAGTTTTCCTGTTTAGATGGCTTGATCAGTTTGCCACCTACTGCCATGTACATTCCTGGTGGGCCCGTAAGGTTCCCCAATGCAGTGTCTTCCATCTTGGTAATCTTTCCATTCTTCACTGTGAAATACAAGCGCTCAGGATCCAACACCACATGACGGTTTGTCTTGGGGATGACAGGGAAATCCATAAACTTCAGGTCTGATGTATGCGTGCCAGTGACAACCAGTTGTTCCACAAGAACAACACCAGGCTCAACTTCTTCAATTGACTCAAAGGTGAACATCATGTCCTCAAAACCTTGATTGAGATTGTTAATCTCAGTCAAAAGCTGGCGAGCTGTCATGGATCCATGATCATCAAACTTGGCCTTTGCCTTATCAGACGTCCAGAATTCAAGCAACTCTTCCACAGATGCATGCCGATTCTTTGCTGCCATGTACTGCTCAATAATTTGTTCATTGCTGAACTTGAAGGATGAGTTCGAGACTTGTGATTCATTGACGGTAAGAGAAGCGTCCACATCATTCTGTTTCCTTCTCTGCTTGGATCCACCCTTGTGCTTGCTTTTGCCAGCCTTGGAGCCTGTGATCAATTTCAAGAATCCCATTGTTTGTTTGATACCAAAGCGCTATCTGACTAACTACTAGCTAGTAGCTGTGACAGGAGAAGGCTTGACTTCTTTGAGATCGAATTTGTGAGCGTTTCTCCAAGTTTGTCATTGCATGTAACCTGTGTTCTCTCTTGCAGGAGCTTCTCTCTTCTGACTCAAGCTTCAAGTTCCCACGAAGCGACAAGAAAAGAGTGGTCACAACTCCGAAACGTGACTTAACGATCACTATAAAGATATATATAAAGTGGTACTCCCGACATTTCTGGTCATTGAAAGTCTTTCCTGGAACTTGAATCTTCGAGGTTCCGACAGTCCAGAAAACGAAGCTGCTTGGATCGGAAGAGCACAAAAAAGATTTCTGCCTCCACCTTTTGACGAAGAAAGCACTCAAAACGATTTGGTTCCTTGCTTTGTAAAGGAACGAAGCCGAAAGGAATGCATCCTCCAAGCTCCGGATTAGGCTGGCTACAGTGCCAAGTCACCAAAGAGGATGCGGTCTTGCGTGGGAAGCAAAGTGCATTTATTTCACCGGATCCGAGCGTGACCATTCACCCCAAAGTCTTGCCGGCTTTTAAAAGCTTTGTTGGGGTTTTTTGCTTTGCCCACCGCGAATTGTTTCTTCGAGAAAAGACGCGTCCGTGATGATCACATGAGCACCCCCTCCGTTGCACACAAAGGAGGCCTATCTGGTTGCTGAATGGCTAGCTTTATCAAGCAATTTGCTACAATTATATTCTATAGGAATCTTTCACACAGCAACACAGCACGCATCCTCCAGTGGTGACGGCACCAAACATCCACTTTATTCTCCAGGTGGCGTACTATCCATCTTTCCTCCGACAGAGATATACATACCAGGGGGCCCAGTAAGGCTGCCCAGAGCGATAATGTCCTCGCTTTGGAATTTACCATCCTTCATATAAAACCAGCAGCACTCGGGATCCAACACAATGCTCTTGTGGGTAGCTTCCACGGGAGGAAAGTTGGCAAACTGGTAGGGACCTGTGTGTGTTCCCGTGACGCAGAGCTCATCGAGAAGAACGACATTGGGCTTGACTTCTTTGATAGACCCACAGTTCCAAGTAGCATCCTCAAATCCCGCGTACACTTTCTGTATTTCTGTAGCCAAAATGGTAGCATTCATGGCCTTGCTGTCATCAAACTTGATTGGAGCATCACTGGATGTGAAATATGCAATGAGGTCTTCCATGGGTGCGTGGGCATTCATCGTGACAAAGAAGCGTTCCACTGCTAGTTCATTGGGCGTCTTGCCTCCAGCTGTGGGGGTGGGGGCATCTTGCTTAGTCTTGCTCTTGGTTTTGCCCCTCGACTTTTTGCTGCTTCGGCTGCTTTTGCTGTTTCTGCTGCTGTTGGTGCACACGGTAATGGCATCAACAGGAGGAGCATCTTGCTTGTCCCGAGCCTCCTCATTCGTCTTGCTCGATCGTTTCCACAAGTACTTGAACATGGTATGCTGCAATAATCAGTGATCTCAAAATAGAAAACTAAGATTTGTGATCGTCGGGACAAGATCATGCTCTTGAAAAAGTTACAAAGTTATTGGTTTATGAGACGACAAGCAAGCAAGACGAAGCATTAGAGCAGTCAATTAACGCCATTCGGACACACGGGCCATATACGGCCCGTGCTTAGATACTCGGGTCATATACGGCCCGAGTATACCTTGTTAAACCATAACTGCTCCGTACGTAAAGTTTCAGGAATTCTAGATACAACCAATCGAAAGAGCGCTGAAAGATGCTTCTTCTGATATATGGGTCATCATAGGCGAAATCGAGCCAGAAAGAAGTTGTGGCTCTACGAAAGTTGTAGGTTTTCGTGAGAAAACAAGCGGCAACAGAGAAGCCATGACTTCTGAGGAAGATATGCCTCCCCTGTTGGGAGAAGATTCACTCCTAGATGATGATGCTCTAGTTAGTATAGTTACTGAGGTACTGGACCTCTCTCAATTACCAACTGGCAGTGCCAGACCTGTCGGAGATGGCTCTGAAGATGGCAATGAAGCTGAGCCAGAACAGTCGCAAGAACAACCGAATGACTCCCAGGTCTCAACACAAACCAAAGCCACTTCCAGGAAGAGGAGAGAGAGGTTTGCATACAAGGGGAAGAGCTTCAAAGCCAGCAGTGACCTGTTCTTGAATGCAATCCATAAAGAAGCCTTCGAAGCCAAGTATCCAGATGATGTAGAGATCGTGGGAACAGTCATTCAATGCCATACAATTCGAATGGCATGAACTATGGCTTCAAGTGGACTACCCATGGCACTGATGTGGATAGTACATGGACCTGCCTCAGCTGAAAAGCAACCCAGAGCTGAAAGGGAGAACTGAAGTCGCTCATTGTGGCATATGAACAAGAGCAAAAGCTGCTGAGTAGCACTCAAGAAAGTTCTCCCACAGACCAATCCACAGAAGAACCATCGCATTCAACCTCGACCGGAAGCAAAGTAGGTAGGAAGAAAAAGAAGAATGGAGGCACCAATGAAACACCATCAGCAGAACCAACTGATGAAGAACGTGCAAGGGCTTACGCAGCACTGAAGACAGCATGCAGTGGTGGCGGGACCACCCAGACGCAAAGTGGTAAAGAGAGGAGAAGATCAAGGAGGCGAGATGACAATGATGATGATGAGTCGGATACAGATGATGGAGCCGAGTTGAATGAATATGACGATTCCTTCGCTGTTGCAGCCAACGAAAATGTGGACAGTGACGATTCTGGCGATGAATACGAGAACCAAGCAACAGACGCAACAAGCATCAAAAAGAAGACTCATTTGGGAAGTTCGTGCAAAGGCTGCTTTGGAAATTCGAAGACGTGGAACCAGGTGACATCCCGTATGAGGAAAGCAAGCCTTTATTGCAGGGCAAAGATGCCGAAAATACACTCAGAAAGGGTGTAGCTGATCGCTGGAGTTCACCATTCGAATGCTTCCAGCAGCTTGGATGCAGTCGGGAATTTGTTGCCCTACTCGCACAACATTCAAATGACTATGCAAAGAAGAGTATCTTCGCGGACAGTGGACCAAACAGGAGGCTTCATGGGGCTGTATGGAAAGACATAACAACGCAAGAGATGCATGTTTTCCTTGGGATAATGCTGAAAATCTCTCTTATGCCCATTGATATGGGTGGTTACCCAGCGTACTTTCGAGAGAAGGATAAATTGGTCAACTACAGCAACAGAGAGAAGCCCATGCGTATCAAGAACACAAAAGGATGGGCCCAGGACTATATGTCTCTTATCAGATTCAAGCAGATACGTAGTGCTTTTCATCCAGAGTGCAAGTCAATGGCCGGAGAAGGAGGCGACAAGTGTTACCAGCTCAGACGGTGCATCAACGCTGTGAACCTTTCCTCTAAGTCGACTTTCGATGCAGGATGTTGGTGTTCATTTGACGAAGGAGGAGTGGCCTGTCGCTCTCGATTTTGTCCATGCCGACAGTACAACAAAGACAAACCTGACAAGTTTCGAGTGGATTTCTTTATCCTGGCTTGTTCAAGGACTTATGCCGTCCTGCACATTGACGTCTACCAAGGAAGGAATGCAGCAAACATCAACATCGATCCTTCCATCCATGACCTTCCTACAACACAGAAAGCAACCATGAATGCGGTCATGGCAGCTTTCGGTACTGAAACACGGGGAGCAAGACACCTGGCACTGGACAATCGATACCAGTGTCCCGAATTAGCTGTTCTTTTACTGACGAAGTGCAATATCTACTCGACCGGTACCTGTCGTAGAAGAAGAGTAGGATGGGACAAAGTCATCATGGATCTAGAGAAGAGCGATGGTCGGGGAACTTACAAGATCTCTGCGGACAAACAGAACCGATTACTGGAGATGCAGTGGGTTGATAATAAAGTAGTGTCGATGGTCACAAGCAGAAACGATACCACCATCGGCAAAGTCAAGCGCCAAATAGGATCCATCAAGAAAACACTGGATTGCCCAAAAGCGATCATGGGCTACCAAGCGACCATGTTTGGCATCGATAAGGGCGATCAAATAAGAGATCACTTTGGTGGATTTTCCACAAAAGCTCATTTCAAGAAGTGGTATAAAAAGATCTTCCTCGCACTCTTGGACTGCATGCTATTGAATGCACTTGTGGCTTGGAACTTGTCAGTGGACGAAGACCGATTGAAGATACGGAACAGATTGCTGCGACACGAGTTCATGATGACAGTGGCAGAGTCTTTGTTGGAGTATGACGAACCAGATGACATTCCCGAAAAGGAATCCGGGGTGTCCAAAAAGGATCCGATGGCGGACCACCGCCAATTGGAGGTTCCCAAGGGAACGGGAAGGCCAAAGTGTATTGTTTGTAGATTGGAGTGCGGCAATTTCTTTGGCAACTTGATTAGCGAGGCTGGCATAAAGCGCAATGTCAGTGTCTGCTCTATCTGTAAGGTGCCGGCTCACAACTGTGTACCTGCCGATTCTCCAAGAAAAATCCACCGTTTGCCCCAGTTCAAGGGTAAGACTTGCTTCGAGATCGCGCACACTCCTGATGGTCTCAGCATGTGGCCTATCAGAAATGATCTTGACCACAAACAAGACCAAGATCCCACTCCCGAACATGCAGGGTTTGGCAACTTGTTCGAGAGATGCATGGGCTACCCATGAAGGAACAGCGCAAACGCAAGAGAACTGAAGCTACAAAGACAGCCGAAGAAGGATCTGTTCCAACGAGCTGCAGCCAACAACAATAAAAGTGCACAAGGGGCGGGAGGATTGAGGATCTCTACTCCTAGCATGTACAGTTAGAATAAATGAAGTCGGCAAACTGCCATTCACTTAGTAAATGATCACGTCTACTATTGAATTATCCTACTTAGTATGTATGATCACTTCTCGCTCACATTCGTTGTTGACAAAAAAATAGCGATGTAATCGCTAGAGTGGCTTGCTTGCTCTACTTGCTCGAGTGGCAGCAACACAGCTTCAATCCTCCTTGTACCAGACATATTCCGCATCCTTTGCCGGATTCCTTGGGTAAGTATCTTTGATCTCACCTTCCACACAAACCGGAAGCTTACGGCGTTTTCCAGCTCCAAGGTGCCCAAAGATCATTCGAACAGCTTCCTTGTACAATGCCTTCCTAATGGTCTTGTTGTCGAATCCATCATCCTTCATCATGTCTCCCGTCATCATCAGGCTGCCTCCAACCATGTCTTGGATCATGTAGCAAGGGTACTGCTCGCAGTAGCGGCATGCAACAATGGGTGGCTGTTCTTCTTTCTTTTCATATTTCAAAGTCACCGGGCGGTGGGGGGAGTTGGTACGCCGTCCAATACCAGTAATGTAACCAGGCTCTCCACTGTAAACTGGGGAACAGTCATTGCCTTCACGGAATTGGGGAGAGCCACGAGGATATTGTGGGAATCCAGAAGGGACCAAGTCAGTTACTTTTACGACTTTGAAGCCATGATCAGAAGGCGTCAAAGGCTTGGGCATCTTACCGGCAGCTGGTTTCTTGGCTGGTTTCTTGGCCGGTGGTTTCTCCTCGAACTCATATTCCTCGTCCTCGTCGCTCTCTTTCTTTGCCATGGCTGCGTGCTTCTGCGAGAGTGGAATGTCTTCCTTTTTCTTCTTTTCCGTGTTTCTCGATCATCTTCAGATCATGCTGCCACTCCTCAAAGGCATGGGCTGCTCCCCAATCAAAGGTTTCAGGCTTGAGACGAGATGACATAATTGCAGATAATGGATCATAGTAGACATGGCAGCATTGCTGGTCTTGTAGACATTCGAGAGAGCCATGCTTCTGATCGGTTGCTCATTGGTGGCAACAACGGCAAATGAATGAGGTGCGGGAGCTACTTTGGCGGCCATTGTTAGAGTTTACTTGTGGGCCATGTAAGCGGCTATGGTCTGTGCTTATCAATAGGCATAGACCAAGTGGCCCGACTATAAATTTAAGCAAGGGTCAAAACTGCGCTCCCCTTACCCTTAACAGGGGCCGCCCTTGAATGGCGTTAAGCTTGTAAATTGGTTTAGGAGCATCATTGCTGGGATCCATCGTTCGCGTTGGCCACTGGCCGATGGTCAAAGTACTGTACCGGTATGTGCTCCGCTAAGCAGGGATGAGAAGGGGGGGTTCGAAGCTAAAGCATTATACTGTACCGTTAACACCTCCTCCGGTGCAGATTCATTTGACATTTCCAAACTCGTTTTGTCCAAACCAAATTTCGGAAGCGGTCATTTCTAAAAGAAGTGGTCATTTCGTGAATCCTGTGTTGAATTGACTGGTTCCCACAAAGAAAAGATTGAAGAAAATAAAATGAATTTTACCACCATGGCAACAGTGTTGACCAAATGGCCATTAGCTTTACCAATACATGGAGATAGCAAATCCTTTTCTAGAAGTAGCTCCCCAACACACTAACAGAGCCTCCCCTTGAAAAGGATTTGCTATCTCCAAGGTTTCCCATGGAGCCTCTATGAAAAATCAGGCTTGGATTCCATTTTGTTGTCATTCTGACATGGATTTCTCCATGGGAAGGGTCCTCCAGTCTTCACTCTCAGCACTCAATCTGCACTGTAGATTATGGTAGAGGAGTGGGTGGCTTTGCATGAAGACTGGAGCACCCATCCCAAAGGTTCAAAGGAGAATTGTTGGCTTGAATGCCACAGAATGGAGCAGACTTTCTGTTTGTACTACTCAGTCGATCACTCTAGACAGTAGTGAAGAAGCTGCCATTTTAAAATAGTAGCACTTGTAGAGGCGATCCTCATTCCTCATTGTCGCTCCGTGAAAAAGGCTCCCTGTGGAAGCAGGAAGAATCGATCGAACCGAAAAAACTTGTTGGCGTCGCTTGTCGTTCTACTAGTAGTCGCTTGTCGTTCTACTAGTACAGTAGTCGCTTGTTGTTGCATTGACGGTAGAGGCGTCATCGTCGTTCCGTGGAAGAGCAGGCGTCATGGTCGCTTTGATTGATTGCTCCGTGGAAGGTGGAAGAAAGGAAGAAGTCGAACGGAACGGCCGATCGTCGAACAGCTGCGGCTGTTTCCAGCCTATCCAAACAAGAGGAGCCTGTTATGGTGGAGAAGTCTTCAAGAGGAGTAGCCGCTGTAAAGAGGAGATAGCATCATCTTGATAGAGTCAATAGAGTAAAGGTATCGAAATAATGAAAAAGAAGAGGTGTACGAGTGGCTTGGATCGATCGAACGATCGGAGTGATGTCAGTTGAATTTAAGGTTGAGGCTATATGTCCCTTAAGTCTTTTCACGGAACGTTCCAGGACGTTCCGGTTCGCGTACCGGCAGCCGGCTTGCGTTTGCGTTAATAGCTTCGATACAGCCTGTAGTACTCAGTTGTCTACTGAGTACGTAACATTAATTTTTTTCATTATTCGTGATGACCAAGGAGTGGTGCAGTAATGACAATTCTTTTTCTAAGCAGGACGGTTAAGTAAAAGTTGACTTTGGGGGAAATGGGGTTTTCGAAAGGAAAAGTGTTGAAGTTTTGAATTTTTAGATTTAACAGCACTGAAACTGTTGAAATTGGTTCAACACTGTTGAATCTCCTTTAAACACTATTTCAACAGAGATTTAACACTTTTCAACAGGGATTCAACACTTATTCAACAACTTCCACACTTCCACTGACTATAGATTCAACAGTAATTCAACAGGTGCAATACACGGCTCTTAGCCTTATTCGCGACTCGATCCTAGATAGGGTTTGAGTTCGACTCGCCACACGCACCGCTAGTTGAGAGTTGCTAGCAATTATCTAATTTGCCGTAGACTTCGTTAGTTTGCAAACAAATCTTGTTTACTATTTATGAGATATCTTCATCACTTAGGTATGAGAAATCGGACATGGTTCCGTTGAATCATCATCCTGGCCTAAATCCTCAGACGGAGATCTCTCCGTCCTAATGATTGAAGTCGAATTCGGCAAGCGCCTTGTCAACAAGCAGCCATCTTCTTGTCCATCATGTTGATGGATCCAACAGAGGAGCGTCCTCGTTGTCGGAGTTGTTCAGATTGGCTTGGCAAACATGGTTGATTTCGCTTTTCTTCTTTCGATCAGCCTTGACCGCAGCGTTGGAAACCTTCTTCATGAGGACGGAGAGTTCCTTCTTGGTGTAGGTCTTGGCGTCGTCGACTTGCGTTTCCAAAGTCTTGTTCTTGTTGTACGCTGGCTTGTTATCGTTACGTCAGACGAGGACTGAGACTTGGCTTGAGCTTCTTCAAAGTCATGCAGTCAGCAGTGTTTGAGTGCTGGACTCGTGGTAGTCGCACCATTTTCTTCGTTCTTGGAAGAGTGGTCGTTGTTGCGAGTAGACTTGTACTTCTTGCTGTTGTTCTTCTTCGTAGGAGCTTGCTTGGCATCACCGCCCTTTGTCAAAGTCTTCGGAGGATTCCATGCGTTCGCAGAATCCAATGGTTTCTCCGATAGGAGCTGAGAAAGGATCGAAGTCGTGTTCGTCCATCTTCTTCATCCACGAGCGTGGAATTCCATGACAAACAATGTCAATGATTCGTCATGGTTCAACGTTTGTTGGGTCCAAAAGGTGGTAGACGAGGAAGTTCATCGGTGTTCATCCGACTGAGGTTGTTGACAATAAGCCCGAGAGACATATCAGCAGGCTTACGCATCTTGCGGCGCATGAAGCGTTTCTGCTTTTCAAGAGCCTTTGTAGGGACAGACCGCTTCGATACAGGCATTTATGCCAAACGTAATGTCAGCGTCGTCCAAAGCAGGCTGAGCTGCTCCCGTTCCAGGCAGCCTGGAAACGTGCTTGGAAAGTGGCTTCGTCTTCACCACCACGAGTCGCGTGGAGGAATGCCGTTGACTGCAATCTGGCGAAGGCATTCAAACGTATTTCACGTGGCCTGCACAGCTAGATTCGTAACTCTCTTTGCAGAGCTAGAAGTCATCTCTTGAGGAGGTTATGTTTGTCGGTAGGCGTAGCAATGGCGAGCCCAACGAAGACCTTCTCCATCGTCCAGCCACATTTGATGGTCTGACGTGGAGTCTCAGATCCATTGATGATTTGGACCTTGAAGGTGTACTTGGCGCTGTTAGCATCTGCTGGAACAGTGCGAAGTTTTGTAGGTGGTAGAGCGAAAATCGTCGATTTCGCAGTCATCGTCGAGGTCGATGAGAGGAAGGATTGGTTTGTCGCAGCTTAGACTCGAAGCTGGTGTATGCGTCTTTGGCAATCTTATGGTGAGGAATAGGTTGAGGGTAGCTGAAAGCTATTGTGTTTGTTAACAAAATGCACTACGCTAAAAGCTAGTGTAAAGATCTTTCGAGTGTTTTGAGTTTGAGAGAATGAAAGTTATGAGAGGATTAGAAAGCTATGAAAACTAATCGACGAGAGAGATCCACAATCAAAGGATCGTAGATCTGAACTCCCGCGGAGACTGTAGAGTGTGATAGAGTAGGTTGCGGTAGCAATCCTACTCACTCCACGATCCAAAAAACGGAACGCGTGGAAGATTCGTCTGCATTTATCTAGTAGCGTGGAATCTCTCACGCCAGCTAAATATCTAGCGCATGTTTCACCATCGACCTAGTATGACTAGCGGTCATGAGAACCCGTCTCAATGACTATTCACGAAAGACTCAGTCAT